TTAGGTAAAAATCATAGATTACTTTTTGGGTAAAATAAACTAATTTCGATCAGCTGTTATTTGTAATGTTCTGTGAACGATTTCAGATATCGTTTTTCATGGTTACATGATACGTAAGTATACCTTATGTCAGGTTATCGTGAAGCACATGACTACATTGAGTAGATTAACTGTTAGGTTATAAACTTATAAGATTCTAAGAAATAACTGAATCGTGCTCGTGTGTTGTTAATGCAAATAAAGTTTTACTTTTTAATATTTTACAATTTTAAGCATTTTAATGGTGCACTTATTTTATAATTAAGTTCAAGTACAATGTTCTTGTATATATTTTACCTAAATTGGTTAGTCTCATGTAAATTGGCGAGTAGGTACATATTAAGGACAATTTGTTGGTAGTTTCTACAATTAAATAATTAAAACAATATGTCAAGTTAAAACATTTTGATTTCAGCTTAATCATTTATACATCTAAATTGTTTAAATGTATGGTATATGGTTCCCTGGTATCTACTGGATAATAAATGTTTTTTGTATAATCAAGTGACATAGACACTACATAGAAATATTACTTACAACTGAGTTTCTGCTAATTATTGAAGAGTTTTGTTTCTTTTGGTATTTCAATTTGGCACATAGATAGTCTAAGATTATCTATATTTACTACAAACATACTTCGACAGATGATTTGATTTCCACTTTTAAATTCATAAAAAAAATGAATTTACAATATAATATATTATGTATGATTTATACACATAATATATTGTGATTCCAAATCGGAATTTGAATATGTTATACTGATTTACTTTCACATACAATTTGGAAGATTCTATATGAATGTTAAAATTATATACATACTACTATTTCCAATTACATTTAAAAATACCAATATTTTGGTATCAGTGAAAAATAAAATTATTGCTTCACATATTGGATTTAAATATAACTACAAAATAAATTAAGTAAGTATACATTTTTTTAACTGTAATATTATTTAACTATTATACTGTCAAAAACATGTTTAGGTAATCAAGATAACTGCAAGGAAGTGAAAAAAAATCTATTTAGACTAATTGTTCATCACCAATGATATTTATTGAAACCTTAAAATTGTGCTAGTGTTAATGTTTTGTAGTTTGTATATTTTTTATAATTAATCTAAATGAGGTGACAACATCAATCATTACAACTTAAAAGATAAATGTATGTTGTGTTTAATACACATACCTACCCATGCTTAAATAGTGTAAATTAAATAAAGAATTTAAAAAGATTGTAAGTAGATATGTGATTAATTATTAAACATATACATATAAATGATTACTATGTGATTGTTCAATATAAAGTAGGTATTTAAAAAATGTATGATTTTTTTTTTAAATTATTTATAGTAATTTAGTATAAATACTAAATTCTTCTGTCAATGATTGGTGTTGTCATTAAATAGTTATTTGTACTATATACAAGTTGAAATATTTTTAATAGCATTTTAAAAATTTTACTTTAATTCTAAGCTTGGGGTTATTGGAAAGTTTATTTTAATTTCTTGAATACATGTTATATCTTTACTCATATTTTGCATAACTACAAAACGACAATTTTGATATAACTGTATCATCATTTTGGAATAGAATTTTCATTGTCCTGAACTTATAAATTAAAGTAACATTTTATAATGGTTCATCATATTAACAGTGGCGTTGAAGTTCTTAAATTTAATCGAGCAAAAAATATTTTGAAAGATCAGAATATCTAAATATATTAAAATGTACTTTTTGTGGGAGGGATCTCCCATTTTGTCTTAATTTTCTCTCCTATTTCAAAAAAATGTATTGATGTTTAATTTAAAAAAAAAAATTCAATTTTGAATCTTAACCACACATTTTATGTACTTTTTATTCAAACTATACAGCTAAAATACGAGATTTTTTCTCAATCATTAATACAGAAACATACCTTTTTGGAGGGAGGGTTAAGACTAATTATATGCACAAAATATGAATCATTATTTTTACGCACTAACTAATCACCCATTTAAATAAAAATAGCTTGTTGAATGTTTATATTATTTAATATACATAGATATTTGTATCTGGGACAGTATAAAATTACCTCATTTTACATTTTCAAAAAATTTCGGGCTGGAGCTCAACATAGGGTTTGTCGTCACTGAATAATAATATAAAATGTTAAGGAATCCATCATGAATATAATTCAATTAAATTAGTTCAGAGATAATTTATTTATCCCAGGTTATGTAATATTTATCTTTTTAAATTATTATTTATTCATATGTATGTATAGTATTTTATTTAAAATTATAACGGCTTTGATGGTCAACTATAAAGTGTATGAATGTCATTAACGTATAAGATGAAAAAAAAAAAAAAGCAATTACAGTGTAAATTAAATATTATTATTTTTTAAATCTTAATTTTAAATTTTCGCTTATCTAACTTAATGTTAGAAAATTAACAATTTTATATAATAATATGCAGGTAGTAAAGCGGCGTTTAGCCTCGGACACCCTTTTCGTTAGATATGTAATTAAATTTTTGCCCCCTCTAATAAATTTCCAAGTTATGCCTATGCCATATTATATATTTATATTTTAATAGATTTAGTTAAAGTTAAGTTTGTACACTAATAAAACACTTATTATTTCAAAAAGTATTAATGTATTATATGTTTTTGAAAATATTTTTTTTACATGTTTTCAATTTGTGTGAGTGGCTTATGAGTTATAAGTATTTTAAGTTTCGATGAGCGGAATAGAGGACCAATAATTTGCGAGATAATAATAACTCATTATTCACTCTTCCAAAATAAAATTTTTATGTATTGAAATACTCAGAAAAATATCGGAATATGAAATTAAAAATGTTTTTTGTAGCAACCTAATACCAGGAAAAAAAATATTTATTATAGGTTTATTTTTTTGGACACTTAGTTTACGAGATTATTTATTAAGTAAATACATTTTTAAATGTTTTAATAATAATAAACTGTATAAATATGAGAATAAACATATTGTATGTCGACAGAAATGATAACACTGATATGAGAATAGTCGTGACCGCACCACCCAACCCCACCAGTGATACTCCGTCAATTAGTATAAGATCTCAAATATTTATCAGTAAATGATGAAGTCATGTAGTTGGGATTACATACGATAAGACGTAACATTTCAATATAATAATAACTTATAATATGTATAGCAATAAAAGTCACTGTCGGAAGTAGGTACACTAATAATCATTTATCACCGTCGAACGGTATCAAGTTTATTACTTATAACTTCTGGTTTTTAAAGGCGAACAGTATTGCTGCGGTCTGAGTTACTGACTAAGTATAACACAAATATCTCCCGAAACCACACAACTTTGAGGAGCTCTATCTTGTCAACGAATTAATGAAAAATGGAAATTTAAACGTAATAATTCATAAGAAAAAAAAAATTACTAAATTATGAAATTTTTAGTATGGGTTGCCATTTGAAAAACAAAAGTTGATGGTGGTTTACCTAATAAATATAAGGGTGAAAAATATTAAACAAATATATAATTCAAGAACAGTATAGATCCAAAATGTTGAAAAAAAAAATTTGAAAAAAGTTAATAGTTTTTGAGACAATGAGTGTTTTACGCTTGGTTAATCACCCTGTGTATACATATATATAAATAATCATTATATTTATTATTAATATAACGTGCCCATAAGAAAATAACAACAACAAATACTATATCCATCTTGTGTGTGTGTCCGTTATACACATATAAATATGCTCAAAAAATGGTGTGCTTGTAACGATAAAAATTACCATTTCAACAATTCTTATTTGTCAGAATATAAGGAGATATATCATTTATCTTGATATATGTAAGTGGTGAATATTAAGTTTTAAAGCCCAAAAAAAAGCAATTTTATTTTATTTTGTTGAAAAATAACACTCCAATGGAAATCTATTTCCATCCCAATGCAATCAAAACCATTTTATAAAGAATGTTAATATTTTCCAACTGTTGCTTTTTCGTTTTTTCGTTTTCTACGAGCAAATATAAAATAAATCCTATCAGATATTTCCTCAAGTTTTATGTATTATACTAAGTGATATCAAATCAATGCAATATACTGATAACATAATTTAAAAAATATTAATACGCTCATAACAATGTGAGGCTATTTTAATATTTTATGTTGTCCCAAAATCGATAATCTTCAAATAGAAATTGTTTTACGTAACTATTTAATCATTATCTTATTCAGAATATGAAAATTAGTAAATGAAGATTTATATTATCATAATTATTGTTTAAATGGCAGTTAATTTGTAAACAATACACATTAGGAAAATATATTAAATGACATAGATATTTTGGAAAGTATATAATCGATAAGGTATTGGAACGTTTGTTCTATTTATGAGTATTATCCTTACGCTTGTATGAATTAATTGAAATTTAATACTAAAAAGTAACGATACTGAACATAATATTGCATTGTTAATTGCAACAATTATTGTGTAAAATAAAAAGTTTTTGCACCTCCCAAAGGAATAGTTATAATGTACATAATTTTTCAACTTTAAACCGTAAATAGTAAAAAACTTTCAGTCTGTGTTTTTGAAAAAAAAAAAAAAAGCATAAATAAATAATACCTCTTGGGATGAATAAATTACCTACAAATGTGGTTTGATATTGATTTTTTGAAAATCATGTTTCTACTTGAATCTAGAGAGTAAAATATTCAAAACATAAACGACCTGCTGACAAGAGAAATGGATTACAATTTGAAATGTCATCTCGAATTATAATTACTAAATCCATAGTATAAATAAATATTATGTTTTTCTCGGTCTAAAATATCATTTTTATCTTAAATATTGATAAGCCTTGTAATTTATGCTATATGCACTAATCTGTGCTTCCATTCCTTGTTTACAAAAATTTTAACGATACGATTTAAAATTTCTATTCTGAATTCGTGTGTTACAGAGTCAGAAACAAGGTGTAACCGGAACAACGTGTAAGAATGGTGATGACGTCCGGTTGCCAATCTCATGGACAGCATCAGAAGTTCATTGCGTTGCTGATACTATGCTTTTTGGATTGCGGTCAAGGTGACGGTAAAGGTAAGTTGGTTTTTTGGTTTTACTTGGCTGCGGACGGGGATTGAGCTTATTTTGCAAATTTTGTGTTATGCAGATGCTTCTGCCCTCGCGACCGTAGCATCAGACCTTAGTCGGTCTGATTTAATGGCACCGTGTTCTGGATACGTGGTATATGTCATGTTCCAAATTGCCAAAGTTTCACAATCAAGGAAATCCTAAACACTTGCTCTTCCTTCTAATTATAATGGGGATCTCTAATGGCACCACTGCTTATATGGATGACCTAAACTTAAACTACGTTATACGACAGCATGGCTGCGTGTGATTATTTTAATTGTGATTACATGTAATCAAATTATGAAATTAACGTAGCGAATTGTTTGGGAAATATTTTTGGGTACGATAAGTTGTGCAACATAACGAATTAAAATACAGTAAATTACTTTGCGTATTTAACATTTGTATCGGAGACACGTACTTACTAATTATAAGTTATGAAGTTTTTCGAGTAAGCAAATTTATTTTAGTTCTTTATAATTTAAAATCAAAAACTAATAATAATTATTATCGGCTTATATTTTGAACACTTTGTGTTAAAACGTACGGGAATACTTTGTTTTATTATTTCCACATGTAGATCACTTCTTTTGACATTCTTTACAATTTCAAATTAATACTTATTACATATGGTTCAAATTAAATTAATTATTTTTTAACTCAATAAACATTTCCAAGAACTCATGTATGAATCAGTAACTATGGAATTATGTATAATGAATTAGTAATTGAATTAGTTATAACGATATATATATATATATATATATACTAGTTGACCCGACAAACATTGTTTTGACATATAAATTATTTCTAGAGAAAATTTTGCTAGAAAAAAATAAATAATTTAATATAAGTGTGTAAGAATGTGGTATATAAGTGGAAGAGGTATGGAATGCTATGAACAGTGACGAAGTATAAAAAGGAAAAAACATCAAACATTTATTTTTTTAATAATTTATTAAAATGCATCCTTTAAAATTATATATATCGCTAATTATGATAATATTAGTAAAAATCAATATCAATATCCCTTAGTGCAACAAAGCGTACAACATTTTTTGTCATCCCATCTTTCGCCAACACAAACAAACTGTATGGTTTGAGAGCACGCCACGTATAATCGTCCGTGTGAAAAACATGATGTGCTCAAATCTAAGCCACAGACAGACATCGTATGGCCTTGAGACTTATTGATAGTCATTGCAAATGCCAATTTAATTGAAAATTGAAGGCGTTTAAATTGTATTTGCACATCTGTGGGTGTAATAGGGATTCGCGGTAATACTATATTTTCACCTTGGAATTTGCCGTTTAAAATGATGGCTTCGATAACATTTTTCATTAATTTTTTAATAACTAATCGCGTTCCGTTGCACAACCGTAGTGAGTTCAAATTACGAAGCAAAATAACCGGAGATCCAACCTTCAGTTGTAAATTATGCGGTGGTTTGCCTGGTAAATCCAATGAATTTAAAAACTTTGATAATTTACAGCTTCAGTAGCATCGCAAACTGTATCAATAGAATTGAATAATACCAAGTCTCCTGGCAACAAATTTTGTATCTTGAGATTCAATTTGTAGATTCCAAATTTTTTGCTGCTAAAATTGCTCTTTCTGCCATCTACTCATGATTTGTGTATTGTCTATGTACATTGGGAAATATCTGGTCAATGAAAGCATCTTGCGAATCAATGATTGTGCCGAAATCGGTCGGTAATTGTATGCATGCCGTTTCATCTATACTAACTTTCCCATCACCAATATCTAAAAATTGTTCTAAGAATCTTTCTCACGCAGCTTTGATTAAATCGCAAGTATCGTAATCGTTCGCTCTCTATCTTTATATTCATGTCGACCATGAATTGTTGACAAACTCACGACATCGTACAATAACGTTGTCCTGATCGCATCTTATCATCAACCGATATGCATAATAATCCTTCGAACTAACTTCTTGATTATTTTGGCACCTGTTACGGGATCTTGTTTAATATTTATGCAATACTCGTCATTTAATACTAAAATAAAATTAATAGTTTTTAAATAGTTTTTAATAGTTTTTTAATAGTTTTTTTAATAGTTTAATTTAATAATGTATTTTCAACTGCGTAGTTATCGACTGGGTCGAAAATTATTAAATTATACTACGATTTATTAAACAATAGCACTTTTCCAAAATATTTTTTCATAATAACCTTCTCCTGGCAATTACAAATATTTAAAAAAAATTTGAGCCAAATTGGCCAGCCGTTCTCAATTTATAAAATGTTATTCGTTTTTGGCTCCATTTTTGTATATAGATATATTTTATTTTTTTATATTCCATAAAATGAGACGAATTTGTTTTTAATTAAAAACAAATTAACTTTAACACTTCATTATTTTCGTCTTCAGAAGAATATTGACGTTCATTATCTGATTCTGGACTGGTTGTATATCTATCACGCACCAGAGTCCTATTAAAACGTAACCTTCCATTTATGCCAGTCGTACCGCCTACTCTTCATTGTGTTTCCAAAAAAAACATTTAAGATTTAGATAAAGTAACCGGTTGAGTTTCTTATAAACGTATAAAACTACAGTTAAATTATTTTCGTTTCTACCTTGTGAATGGGATCTAGATTTTTTTTTTTTTTAATTTTTAACGTGCAATTTTCGTATAAATGTTCGCTATGGTTACTTCTCAAAAGTAAAAGCAAAAAGTGCAATCGCGTCAGAGGCAAAACTGCAACGTATTTGCAACCCACGGACTGTATACTGACATGAAAGTTATTATACTGACTACGATAGTTATTAATGTTTACTTAACAACTGTACCCGGTGATAATCCGAGGTTAACATGTATTTCCGGTAAACACCCGCTCTTAGACAAATAAAATAATGAAAACGTGAGGTAGTGACATGGCAGTGTTTAAAAGAAAAATGCACCGTCGGTAAAAATAATATTGCGGACGTTGTGATGTTTTTGTTTGAAAATAGAATAGAATGATTGTGTGTGTATTATTATTAAAACAAATCAAAAACAATTTAAAATAGCGAATATAAAATAAAATCGTGAATAACTAAAATAATAATTAATACAAATAATAAGTGAATAATAATGCATTTTTGTATAATAAAATGATAAAAACAATATTATATTTATAATATTAACGATAATAACAACAATGTCCGTGTCAATCATAATAGTAATAATAAAAATTATATTAATAAATCATTATATTACTGTCATGCGAACTTGTAGTTGAAATACTTAAACTATTCATAACTTTATAATTAATTTTACATATTTGTAGAAGTATTCAAAAATGTATAATGAGCTGTCAATGTCAAATAATCCACAGCTGCATAGTGCTTAAAAATGAAAACAAACCGAGAACTAAAACCTTCGACTACTTCCAATCGTCAATTAATATTATCTATATTGCTGAATACTGTGGTAAAGCTTTATCAAGTCCTATCGGTTTTTATTTATAATAATAACCATAACATTAATAGTTTTATTTCAGATACCATGTCACATGCTATAAATACAGAACACAACGATTCCAACAATTTGAAACTTTAAGTTATGTAACATTCGATTAAATATAGTTATATAGAATAATGAATAATCATAGAAATTAAAATAAAATCGAGTGATCAAAAATTAAAAATAAATCAGTAGGTTAAGAATAATATTATATTCTAATAATTATTCGAATAATCCTTATGATTTGACGATTAACTCGGAAATAACATACACATCATACAAAATATTTTTTTTTTGCTAGAACATTAACTATGTAATTTGAGGAAAATAATTATGGCAAATATACATAAAGTGTGGTCGACGTTGCACTTTGGGACTCGGGGTGTTTGTGGTCTTATACGATGGATAACGAACGGTTAGCAACCATTCGTTAAAACTTGTGTATAATAATCCTGAGTAATTTTCTGCGGCAGCCCGGTTGGGTAGTGGTGTTCTAAGAAGTGGCCAGATGGAGCGGATGGTAAGTTTTGATTTCCCACAGGTATAATTGAGTAAGAAGAAGGCAGCGGTGGTGGTGAGCGATGGCAGCAGTGATGGCAGGTGAAGCCCGTGAGCGTCAGGACGTGGTGAGAAGGTAGTAGAAATAAAAGTGGAACTGTTTTCACCAACGAGCATTGTTATAATAACAATAATAATAATATAACTACGGCACTGAGGAAAACGATTAGTGAGTGAAATCGTAAAAGTGTGTAACGGGCGGACGACGAATCGTTAAGAAGGAAACCACGGCGGAAGGTGCGGGGGAGTGGAGGACGCGTGCTGTTATCCTGCGCCACCATTCTCGTACTTATGCATCCCGCTAATGCGAATTTATCCCTAACACATGAGGGTTAAAGAAGCGTGTTGTCCGTGTGATGACATCGTGTACGGTGCACACATCGTGATTATAATAATGATAGTGATAAGAAAAACAATTTGATCTGGAAATTGTATGCTTTATAATATGGAATAAAATGATGTTTGATAGAGTTAAATAAATTAATTAATTAACGAAAAATTCGTTTAAATATAAATGTATTTATTCAACTTCCTTCGATCGAGAAAATTATTAATAAGTTTACTATCTTTAGATCATATGCATAGGTGGATATTGGGGATGACTCGGGGGAGGGCTTAAGCCCCCCCCCCCCCTGAACGTAATTAAACTACACCAGACGTCAAAACAAATTGTGTATTTTAATATTTGATATTTATAATTTTTATTTTATTTTGTTGGTATACGAGAATGGTCTGAAATATTTACAGACTATCATTATTGGAGAAAACCATAATTTTTAGGTAATAAAGAAAATAAAGGAATAGATTTATACTATTAAAATAAATAAAAAAATTAGTAGCTATTCAATGTTTCATATTTTTATGTTCCTATTACCTGTACATATTTAGTGCCTCAACTAGAATAAAGTAAGAGTAGCCACTAGTTAGTGGGTT